AGAGTTTGCTCTTATTTTTTATAGATTTTTTTTGTTCCTCTGTCAAGGGGAAAGGAGAAGCATTGGATGCCAGGGATACACAGGTTATCCTCCCATCCTTTAAGTCATAGCTCAAGTCTGGTTGTTTAGTGAGGCTTAAAAACACTAAATATTCAATACTGGGAAAGAGACAACAACAACAAAACAAGGCAAATCCCCATTATGTTAATGAGCAAATAAAATCCAAGGCAATGGTGTGGATTTCCAACCCGTGTCTGTCTCGTAAGGACAAGAGCAGCTTCCCAAGATCCCCGTTTGTTAAAATCCTGCCCCCCAACCATCACCCTGACAGGCACCGGACTGAGAACGGCACCCAAAGGGTTCAGGATTCTTTTCTAAAGCACAGATAAATCCCTTGGATCACTGCAGGCTCTCCAGAGTGACACAACTCGGTAGGAATGGTTAATCCCTGTCACAGATCCCCTGATCTGAGAAGTTTTGGGATGGACAGTTCTTCCCACAGCAAAGTTTTGACATTTATGAGCTGCTTTTTACCCAGAAAACCCCAAATCACTCCTGAAACCAGAGATGATCTTCTGCCCACTGACACCTAACGAGAGTCCTGGAATCCTGGAATGGTTTGGGTGGGAAGGGCCCTTAAAGCCCATCCCATACCCTGCCCTGCCCTGGGCAGGGACACTTCCACTGCACCACATTGTTCCAAGTCCCGTCCAACAAGAAGCTCCACATAAATTCCAGCAGCTCCACCAACTTCCCTGAGTCCTTCAAAACCCAAATCACGACAAGCCCAAGATAAAAGAGGCCAGGGAAAGGCTTCCAAGTGAGCTGGAAACATGGGAAGAGATCCCACGGGTCAGGAGTGCCGATCCCGGGGGCTGGAACTCCCCTAAGCAGGGGGGAAAGGGGGATTTCCAGTCCCAAACGTCGCAGTCGGAGCTCAGGAAACAAAGACAAATCTCTGCAACATTTCCACAGGCAGGGGGGAGCAAACACAGCCACATTCCCGAGGGAAGGAGCCCTGATTTCTGCAGGTGGGATTTTCACGCGGATGTGTCACCGTGATCCGCTTTTATCCTGCAGTTCAAAAGGAATTCTGACCTGGATTCCTAAACTCCATCAAAAGCTGCTCGTGGCAGCATAGCCTGAGCCTCGATGCCGCCACTGACATCCCCAGGAAACAGCAGCAGCTGGAAAACACGCTCCAAAAGGAGCTCTTACCTGGAGAAACACCCATGGAGCACATCCCAGAGTCCTCTTTCCACGGCTTTTATCAGGATTTGGGCCAAACCCGAGCCCAGCTCTGGCTCTACCACCTTTCCCAAGCCCTCCCAGCCATCCCGAAGCGATGCTGCGCTTCCAAAGGAAACTCCATCGGGGCAAAGCCTGAATGGATGTTTTTCAACAAAGCTCTCCCTGCCTGAATGCACAGGGAAAAACAACTTCCCTGGGAGGCGCAGCTCTGTTTACACAGGGAGTGGGAAGCCTTTTCCAGCAGCCCCTGCTCACATCCTGTGGAAGTGGCTGGGATGGGAGCAGGCTGTGCCCCAACGCCTCTGGGAAGCCCTGGAAGCAGAACTTTACGGATCAGCTGGGAATGCACAAACACACCATTCCCGGGCTCCCACCCCAAAGCTGCAGCCTGGTAAACGGGAGCATCGGATACCTTACGTTCCTGAGTCAGGGTTGGGATAATCCACACATCCCGGGAATCCCTGGGAGCAAACACCCCTCCGGAAGGCGCAGCCGACAATGGCTGAAATTCCCAAGTCAAAACACAGCTGGAATAAACCATCCCCACCTTCATTCCAAGCCCAGGCAGGGCAGGAACACGTGTCCTGCAGGTGAGGTTCCTCCTGGGGCTTCTCCAACAGCCAAACGCCAGGAAAACCAGAATCCCAGGGACTAAAGGCTGGAGGGAACTGGGATTAAAATTCCCAAATCCCACGTGCTGCCTGTAAAATCCACGGGAGCAAATATTCCAGAGCCTTTCCAAAGCCAAGAGCTTCACCTGCCACCACGGACAAGAGACACTGCCCGGGTGGAGTCACCTGCCAGGGAAAACTCCCGGGAACACGGCAGGAAAAACACACCCAAACATCCCTGCTGTGCCAAAACCAGCACGGGATGCGACAGAGGCACAAAACCCCTGGAGAACGGGATTGAATCCATGTAGGAACAGCTCCATGCGCCAGACAGGACCGTCCTGCTTTGGAAAAAAGAGTCCAAGGCCAGGTTGGATGGGGCTTGGAGCAACTTGGGATAGGGAAAGTGTCCCTGCCCTCGGCAGGGGGTGGAACAGGATGAGCTTTAAGCTCCTTCCAATCCAAACCAGCCTGGGATTCTATGGACCAGCTGGAATTCTGCCCAGGATCCTGCTTTCTTCTCTCCCAGTTGTGACACCAAGGAAAGACTGACCCCAGGGAGACACGACCCGAGGGAACAGCACTGGGATTCGGGATCGAGGAAAAGGAAGGAGGGAAGGGAAACGCCAAAATTAAGTGAAAACTCACCAAAATTAAGGGCAAACACACCCAAATCAAGGGAAAACAGCCCAAAATTAAGGGAAAACATCCCGAAATCAAGGGAAAACATCCTGAAATCAAGGGAAAACATCCTGAAATCAAGGGAAAACATCCCGAAATCAAGGGAAAACATCCCGAAATCAAGGGAAAACATCCTGAAATCGAGGGAAAACATCTTGAAATCAAGGGGAAACATTCCAAAATGAAAGGAAAAATCACCAAATTTAAGGGCAAATGCCAAAATTAGAGGAAAACACACCAAAATTAAGGAAAACCACTTCAAAATTAGGGGGAAACACACCAAAATTAAGGGAAAAATCACCAACTTTAGGGAAAAACAGCTCAAAATTAAGGGAAAACACTGTGGTGGGAGCACTGAGGGCTGTGGAGTGAGGAGATAACAGGGAGTCAGCTCCTGGATTCCCATCCCACTCTGGGACTTGTCTCCAGAAGTGGCTGCACTTTGTCAGGACACTCCAGCACCATTCCCAACCTGGAACTTCCCAAGGCCGCCTGGGAAAAAGGTGGGAAAAGGCCTCCTCCCACCCTGGGCCCAGATTTAGGTCAGCAGCACCTCCACCGGAATTCCCTGGAATTCCTGTCCCTTCAGCCAAGGGGAAGAATTCCAGCTGCTGACCTGCCGGGCTCCCGGGGGAGCTCCAGCCTTTTGAATGCCAAGGACATTCCTGGTGATCCCGAGGTTATTCCACACATGGAACACTCCCCCAGGCAACGGCAGGCAACGGTTTCCACCCCCCTTTTGTTCCTCCTCCAAGCATTCCTTGGAATTCGGATCGTTAACAGTGAGACACCAAAGCTCTGCTCCTGCCCCTCCTAAGAAATGCCCTTCCCGACTGGAAAACCCCATTGGAAAAGCCAAACACACCCGGGAGAGGTCTGGGCAGCAGGAGATAATCCCTGAGCCTCTCAGAGACAGGAAAACGATCCCAAATAAAGCCTTTCCCAAAAGAGACCGGCAGGGAAAACACTGGGGAGCAACACCCCAAATCCCACCGGCTGCTCCAACAATCCAGGGCCCAAATCCAGGGATTTATACACACAGGGCGAAGGGATGAGAGTGGGGATGTGGATTCACATGGAATTATATGGGAATAACGGGACACTGGGGGGAAACATGACTTTTTGGGGAAACAGGGATTTTTTTGGAAGGAAACATGGATTTTGGTGGGAAACGTGGCCTTCTTTGAGGGAAATATGGATTTTTGGGGGGAAACATGGACTTCTGAGGGCAAACACGACTTTTATGGGGGGAAACCATGGATTTTTTGGGAGAAGCATGGATTTTAGGGGGGGAACATGGCTTTTGGCGGGAAACGGATTTTAGAGGGGAAATATGGCTTTTTGGGGGGGAAATATGGATTTTTGGGGGAAAATGTGGCTTTTGGGCGGAAATAAGGCTTTGTGGGGGAATGGCTTCTGGGGGAAACAAGGATTTTTTGGGGGAAAATGGGTTTTTTTGGGGGGAATAGGGCTTTTAGGAAGGGAAACATGGATTTTAGGGGGAAACGGCTTCTGGGGGGAAACAGCTGCTAGAGGGGAAATGTGGATTTTTTGGGGGGAAAAATGGCTTTTCTGGGGGCAAACGTGGCTTTTAAGGAGGGAAACATGGATTTTAGAGGGGGAACGGCCTTTTTTCTTGGACAAATGGTTTTTTTGGGAAGGGTAAACAGCTTTTTGAGGGGAAACGGCTTTTAGAGGGAAACACGGCTTTTTCTGGGGGAAACATGGCTTTTGAGGAGGAAGTGTGGTTTTTTGGGAGGGAAACACGGTTTTCAGAGGGAATAACGGCTTTTTTAGGGGGAATCACGGTTTTTGGGGGAGAAACACGGCTTTTGTGGGGGGAGAGATGGGTGTGGGGGGGGGAAACACGGCTTTTCCTAGGGCCCTGAGGGAGCCCCGGCGCCGCCCCCCGGGGCAGGGAAGGGGCTTCCCCCTTAGGGGATCGGGCTACACCCCCCGGGGGCTCTTCCCTGCGCACGGACCCCCCAAAATCCCCTGAGGGGAGGGGAGGGAAGGTCTCACCGCACCCTCCTCCCTCAGATGTGGGTCCCTCCGGGCCAGGCCCGTCCCGCCCCATGGGCCCGTCCCGCCGCCCGGGAAGGGCCGCGCCCGTGGGAAGCCGCGCGGCGGGGCCGCTCTCACCTGCCGGCGGGGCCGGGCCGGGCCGGGCCGGGCCCTCAGGGCTGCGGGCGGCGGGGCGGCCGCGTCTCCCCGGTGACGGCCCCGACCGGCGCCGCCATCTTCGCTCCCCGCCCTCCCGCCGCCGCCCCGGCCGCGCCGGCCGCGCACCGCGCAGGCGCGGCCCCGCCCCCCGGAGTCACGTGACACGGGAGGGACAGGACCGGCGGAGTCGCCATGATGGGAAGGTCAACGCTCCGTACGGGGCGCGGCCGCCATGTTTGGCGGGTCCCGCCGCCATGTTGGGAGCGGCGGGCGGGCGGGCGGCGCCGCCATGTTGGGGAGGTCGGCGCTGAGGCGGAGGGGTCAGGGCGGGTCCCGCTCCCTGTCCCGCTCCCTTCCCGGGCTCCCACCCTCATCCACAGCCCCGGGAGGCACAGCGCGGGCACGGGAACCTCCCTGCCCAGCCCTGCGTGTTTCCCCCAGCCCTGGAGCCTCCTGAGGGCTCGGCGGGCGGGCGGGATGTGACCCGTCCCCGAGCCTGGAGGTCACCGGTGCTCTGTTGGCCATGGAGGTGAGGAAAGGAGGGAGCGGAGCCCATTCCCTGTGGGAACATCCGCTGTGTTTTGGCGCCAATCCCGCTGGCCAGTGGCGAGGGGAAGTTATTCCTTAGGGAAGGGGCACAGGGAGTCACCGCCGCCCTCTCTTTGCTCCCACAGAGCTGCATCCCACAGGGAGGAGCCCGCCCGGCATCCCGGGCGCCTTCCCTGCCCGAGGGGATGAGCCGGGAGCCTCGCGGAGAGCTGGGATTGCCGGGGACAGCACACGGAATGTGTCCCAAGTGCCCCGTGGAGGGCTGGGATAACCCGGCAGGAGACGTGGGATTCACCCCCCACCAGGTGAGTACCACGTTCCCAAAGGATCCCAAAGGATGCCCGCGGTCAGGCAGGGCTGGGAATGGGACTTCTTGCAGCAGGATGGAGGGGAACGCCCGGGAAAACGCCGCTGGAACGCTGCATGGGATGGAGCCAACAATGCCCGGCTGCTGGAAAACTCGGTGCCTGTTTCCCTCTGGAAAAATCCCAGAGGATGGGCAGGAAGAGCCCGAGGCTGCTGCGCCTTTTCCTCCCGCTCCCAGGGCGGGGGGACGGTGTTTCCCACCCTTCTGAGCCGCCCAAAGAGCTGAAATCCAAGGATTTAAACCTCCCCGAGCGCCGCACGCCCCGGGCTTTGCGTCAGGGTTTGTTTGAGCTGGAGGTTTATTGATGTTTTTAAGGAATCCAGTCGCCATCTGCCGGCAAATGTGGCTGCTCTGGGGGGAAATTAGGGATTTAAGGGCAGTTTCTGTGATTTCCTGGGTGGAAATGAGGATTTTTAGGATGCTGAAGGGGCAGGTGGGTTTGGAGCGAGGAAAATGAAATGCAAATCCCACCCCAGACACGTCTGCGTCGCTCAGAGCTTAAAATAATACATCAGCGTGGGGAATATCTTGGGGTTAAATGAGATAATTTGAATAAATTAGGCGTTTTTTGGGGAAGTTTGATGTTTATAAAGGTTTGGGCTGGTCCTTGTGCTCCATTAGAGCAGCTGAGGGCTTGGATGGAGAGACACAAGTTGGGGATGGACGAACACGGCAGGGATGAGAGGTTGGATTGGTGGCCAAAATTTCCTACATTTAGGGGCTGATTTGACCGGGAACACAAAATTATGGGAAAACATCCCAAATTTATGAGAGAACACATCAAAATCGAGGGAAAGCACTTCAAAATTTAAGGAAAGCCCTTCAAAGTTGAGGTGAAACACCTCAAAATCAAGCAAAAACACACTAAAAAAAGGGAAAATACTCCAAAACTAAGGTAAAAGACCTCAAAATTAAGGGAAAGGACACCAAAATCAAGAGAAAACA